CAGAGTCACTTCACGCAAGGTTATCTTCATTTAGAGCGCCCCAGCTCCCCCCCCCCCCCTCTCTCTCTCTCTCTCTCTCTCTCTCTCTCTCTCTCTTCTCTGTCTGTCTGTCTCTCTCTCTCTCTCTCTCTCTCTCTCTCTCTCTCTCTCTCTCTCTCTCTCTCTCTCTCTCTTTCTCTTTCTCTGTATACGTGCGTGTGTCCCTCTGTCTCTCTCTTTTTCTTTCTCTCTCATATAAATTGATGTACATATATAATTTGTTTTACTTTGACTTGAACGGGAAGTGAAGGCAGATCCTGAAGTATACTACTATAACAAGTTGCCGACATATCAGTAGTAAACGTGAACTAGGTCGTCGGCCGCCCGACAACTCACATTTGGAATGCGTTAAGTGGCCATCAGCACCTCCAACACATCGCCGTGGCATTCCTCATTATTACGAGTGCAATGTTTAGTTGTTTTTGTTTTGTTTTGTTTTTCTCCCGCTCAGCGTTCATGACGATCCCATGGGGGTGGTTGGCGGGTGCTGTGGTGTTGTTTTCTCCTTCTTTCATATCAACATCTGTCCTCATCATTCTACCCTCTTCTTTCCTTTGTATGTTATTCACTAATAACCTCTAATCTTTGGTACTTACAAGACCTGCTTGTGATGCAAGTACCGTAAAACTGTTACTAAAACTGAACTAAGACCCCCCCCCACCCCCAACCTACCATAAATCATTTAGTGAAGTCAAATAAAACCAACCTGCGTAAGTGTGCTATAGGACTCGCAACCCTTTATCCAAGCTCTTCAAAAGCTTGTGGGTGGTTGGCGGGTGCTCTGGTGTGGTTTGCTTCTTCTTTCCTATCAAACATCTATCACCCTTATCTCCCCTTCTTCCTTTTTATGTTTGTTACTCTCTGACCTCTAATCTTCTGGCGGTCATATGACTTTATATAGTTGCGAGCGTCGTAAAACCTCTACTAATTAAACTTTTTAAAAACTTCAAAAGCTCTTTGTTTGGAGCAGCATGCTGTTTCCTGGGTCCTGAATGTTGTATTGTGGTTAAAGCTGCATTTTAAAAAAATCTTATTCATTAAGAGCCGCGCTGGTGTGACCTTATGCTGTTGTGTGTGCCATAAAACTTTTACCAAACAATAAAATCAAATGTGTCGGTTATTCTTTTTTTGAAAAGCTGTGTATTGATTTGGTTAAAGTGGAAAGAACAAAGAATGAAGTGTACGTTTTCTTTTGAAACAAAAATAGAAATCTCAGAAGTGAACATTAGAGGTGCAAGCTGTTGCAGTGGAGTACAGTGGGTCATTCATAATTATTCTGACATTTGGAATTCAGAACATCCTTCCTCAGTTGCAATTCAGTGTGTGTTTGTGTGTGTGTGTGTGTGCGTGTGCTTGGGAGGGGGGGGGGAGATTACCCTTCGGGGCGGTGCTACTGACTGAAGTGTCTTTAGGCTATTCCCAAAGGGGGGACATTAACATGTTCTTATGCACTGTAGAAAATCTAAATGGGGTGATTTGTCAATGTGATATTCATAACTGTGCCTGAACTGCAAGAAGTAACTGCTAGCATGCTGCTTTTTCTTTCCTAATCCTTACTATCGTCATTTTCCTCTACTTCTTTTGTATGTTTGTCACACTCTTGTGACCCGCTATTTCTGGGGTGCCTTAATAGTCGAAGCAGACTTTGTCCTGTTGAAGCTAAAGAGGTAAACAGAGTAAGCCTTATTTCCTGTAAGAACTTCTCTGTTGACATCCACCCCTTGGCGCTCATATGACCCTATGCAGTTGCGAGCGCCGTAAAACCTCCACTAAAATTAAAACAGGAGAGGGATGCACCTGATGGGTTCTGCTGTTTAAATGAAGCGTTGGGTTTTTTGTGTTAGTTGGGGGTTTCTTTTTTGGGGGGGAGGGGGGTAAAAAATTTCAGCCAATCTATTTCCCCTTGCCCTGTGCTAAATGGCCTCTGCTGTGGTTTTGTCTATGAATCTTAGCCAGAGGTTGGTAGTTGCTCTTGCATTGTCTGCTTTGTCTACTTGTGGTTCTATTTTACTACTCTATTTTCAACTAAATTTTGCAGTTTCTGTGCTAATTCGTCATAAACTACTACTTGATATCATGATGTCTATAACTGAAGTAAAGAATGCTATGTTTTGACGTTTTGCTTTTCTTTTTTTTCTTTTTTTACAGGATTCCGCTGCTGGGATGTGGAGGACACTGGTATTGACATCAACGATGAACTGGCACAAATTGCTAACAGAGCATCCTTGGGGGAGGAAGGGGCCAATGGTATGTATATCGAACAGTTTATCACTGGAAAGTACATGATTTAAGATCAACACAACAAAAATTATCCCATTTATAATTATTACACAGGCTAACTCAATGTTGTGTATAATTTGTATCCCATTATAAGCATAACTTCACTATTTGAATAAAAAGTTACTGACTTTTAGACACAGGTGTTACATCATGTATGCCATTCTACATTTAATTAGTACCATCTTCAATTGGGAATCTCCCTCATTCGTATTAGGGACTGTGATATGTAGAGCATATGTAGTTATAGAAAAAGAAATTTATGGCATCGAATCTTTTTGTGCGACAAGTTGTCAGCATACAGTCAGATAGGGTACAAAGGTACACGTATATTGGCATAAGGTGCAGCAAAAGCTAATATTTCAACGGATTTGGCAAAAAGCTTAATTTCTTCTTTTACACCAAAAAATGATGTGAAACGATGAGAGCTCAAACATTTATTTCTGTTTTCTGTCTGTTAAAGATGCTATAGCTTTTTAATTTTGTAATTCTTTCAATTCCTTTATTTTTCCATTGTTTTTTATTAGCCAGCAAGAAGCCAGGTAGTAGGCATAAGCCTCCTTTTTTTGGTCTATTTTTTAAATGCATGCATTGCAAGCAGCAAGCGTATAATTAAGTTGTATTCTTTGTGTTCAAATCTTATGCCTGTTGTTCTGTTGTACAACCTATGCATTGTTTGCAATGTAAAAATAAATTGTGCGTCACACTTTTAGCTCATTTTTTTGTCTTTGTGAGAGCAATGTTCACGACTAACCCAGCTTTTTTATGTTCAGTTAACTCAGTATGTTTGATTGCTTTGTACTGCATATCATCTTCAAAATATGTTTCTTGTATTTATGAGAGCTTATGTATGTGTGTGGTCGTTGAGATAGCTATAACATAGTAATAGTTGCACCGACACCTGCAGATTCATAAGTCATGTCTTGCTGTCACTGTGAATGTGCTGTGTATTATTTTGTTGGCGTCACCGTTGTATTTGATGCAGAAAGGAGTTGAATACGAGCAAGTTCTATCTCATCGCAGTTTTGTCAGCAGTGGGCATTTATTGTTTTTAAAGATGCAGTACCATTAGTATTTCACATGTTTGTGGACTGCTGTTCTAAACAGAATGAAAGAAAGATCCAGCTGAGCTGATTTTTGCAGCTCAGTTTCAGTTAACTGTGGTGTTTTATACTTGATTTTTTTATGTGCCCACTGTGGATATGAGGTCAACAGTTTCATATGTGGACTGTGCTTTGTTTCTTGCTGTTTCAAAGTCAAGATTCCAGATTCATATGACTGGACTGGTGACTCATGAAAATTGTTAAAAGCTTCCTTGTGGTATAAGTTATTTAATGCATGACAAAAAGTGCAGTTTTATGTACTGATTTTAAGTGACTGAAAAGTGTAACAAGGACATTAACAAGCTTGTCGTTGATCATAACAAAGGATAATACTCATTCCTGTATTTCTTGCATGAGCTTCAATATGAGGGCCTGAGTTTTGTTTATGTTGCTCAACCACATCGATTGACAATAATATTAATATAGTCTGTGAGAAACCATTTTAATGGATGTGTCACTAGTGTCATAGATATCAAAATGGGTCTCTATTTAGTAAACATGTAACCTATTTATATGTGAGGCGAGCTGACAAAATGAGTTACTTCTCGCAATTCACAATTAATGGAGATATTGGCCAAAAATCGACGTCAGGGTCAAATTTGTAGATTTTCTATTGATGACATATTCTTTAACTATAACCTGTCTTTTATTATTTCATACTTATAAATTGTAAAAACTTCACATATAAACATGATGTATCTATTTCCATAGGGTTCAAATCTGAGAAGTAACTCATGTTGTCTGCACGCTTCACATATAGTGCTACTGACTGAAGTGTCTTTAGACCATTCCAAAAGGGGGGATATAAACATGTTCTTATGCACAGTAGAATTGTAAATGGGCTGATTTATCTATATGTAATGCTCATACTGTCCTGGAACAACATAGAGGGAACTGCTGCTTTTTCTTTCCTCATCCTTACTATTATCATTTTTCCTCTACTCCTTTTGTATGTTTGTCTCTCTTTTGTGAACTGCTATTTCCGGGGTGCCTTAATAGTCAAAGCAGACTTTGTGCTGTTGATGCTAGAGAGGTGAGCAGAATAAGCCTGATTCCCCGTTTGGACTTCTTTGTAGACATCCACCCCTTGGTGCTCATATGACCTTATGCAGTTGCAATCGCCGTAAAACCTTACAAAAACTAAAACTAAACATATTATGTAAAGTCTAAATGTGTGTACTAGTTTTTGTTCAAAGTGAAATATGAGGTCTTTATGCAGTTGCGAGCGCCTTAAAACAAAATAAAATACAAAATATGAGATCTTGTTTGTCTTGGGGTATTGTTCTTGGAAGGGAAGGGATGGCTCCTCTAGTAGAATATAACCAGTGTAGGCCTGCTAAGGAATCAATTATGGTTTGAGATTGAAGAATCTGTTGTTGACAGCCCTTTAAATGCAGTACATGAATGAGAAAGAAGCAGTATATTATCAGATTAATGGATGGATTGGCAAATTTTAAAATATTTAAACAGATATTCTCTAAATACATATGTTTACGATGAAGACTTATACTTACAGGTATTCATAACTCTTTTAATAAAGCCATGTTGAAGTGTACTTTGTATCAAAAGTATATGTCGAGTAGGCGATTCTGTAATCCTGACTAATATTGAAACCTGCAAGATCAGCTGTGCACTTTTGCATGTAAATGGTAGATACCGTTCGTGTGCATAATCTATTTATCAGGAAGATGACATTGGTGTGAATTAGATAGCAATGTAGTGATAAAAAACCCAGGTTAATTATTTCTGGGGTGCCTTAATGTGTGTGTGTGTGTGCACGTGTGTTAGTCTGTGAGTGTGTGTGTGTATGTGTGTGTGTGTGTATTGGTTCAGTGCTCTATTACTTTGTGTTTAAATTTGTTGCTCCTTTTGTAAAGGCTTATCTGTATGTGTAAAGATGTCATTCTAGATCTATCACATGGATGTCTTTTTTTTCAGCAAGCAGTTGCTGTGATGAGTTTGAAGTTCATCGTCTTGTGTTTGCTTAAATGCTCATTTCTTGGTGTGTTGTCTTTTTGTGTTGAAATTCCATACCTTTTGTTTTGTACAACAATGCCATCATGGCAGGAGCAAAGCATAATTATACTACAACGTCAAAGAAAATTCTGGAACTATTATGGAGATATTTCTGAAAGGTTTAAGCTGCTTACGAAATTCGTACTTTTTCTTATGAATGGTGCCATATCGTTCTTCTTCTCCCTCATTTTTCGAAAGGCAAAGTCTGGTATTAAATGCCATTTTATTTGGGAAATTGTTCTTATGTCTGTTCCTAGTGGTAACAAAGGTTGTCAACATCATTCAATTTATCCTCATCAGTTTGCCATGCGATGCTGTCTTTTTTAAAAACATTATGAACATGTATATTCCCACCTTTTTGAAAAATGTTTACTTGTTTAGGTAAGAAAGTCTACTGTGTCAACAATTCTTAAAATGATTTTTTTATCTTGTCCTTTAGGTGAGCGATTGATACAGCACCAGTCTGAGAATCTCTCCGTGGAAATTTTGATCAATCCTCTCGCTCAGTCTGTGAAAAACTCTCTAAAGGTATGAAGGAGAAACCCATATCAGTGTCAAGATACACTATTATCGATACAGTCGGCAAACCAACTTCTGGTGATCCTGTTAGGCACTTTGCTGTCACATTTTTTTAGACCTGAGTTCGATTCCTGAATACCCACATTAATAAAAACAATTCAAACAAGCAATCTACTCAAAGCCTTTCAAGTTCTCTATAATAAAGTGGAAACCTCCCAAAATTCTGCTATCAACTTCCTCTCGTGCTATGCTATATGACATTCTCAAAATGAAGCTCAACCAATGCCAAAGCAAAATGAGAAATTTCTCAGTTGAGTTGACATGTTGGAAGAAATAGAAATTTATTTTGTTTGATTATTAAAGACTGTTCGCAGTTCTGACCATTTATGAATAGTCTTAAGTAAGCTACGTTATTGTTCTGTTTGGCCTTTCAGGTCATACCATGTCCTGTGAACTTCATGTGTAATTCTTAATGTCAAGAGTGCACTCTAAAGAAGTTTTAATAATTTCAGTTGTCTAAGCAAAAATGTATACGTATTGATAAATGTAGGAGCTTGTGTATTTCTGTAATACTTATATGGACTCGGCTTATCTGTAAAAAGTAAACTTAGATATACTGGTTTTTAGTTCCTTGACCATTCTATTATTATTGGGCCTCTTTTAACCCTCTTAGTCCTCGACACAATCCCCAAACTGGTCCACCTTGGACAAATCGCGTGCGGGAAACCGTATTTGCTGCACAGGACGTGGCTGATTATTTTGAAGGTCTTACTCAATTAAATGCTAGTAATAACGATGACTACCATGAGTAGGATATGTAATGTGATTCTGACAATCACATGAATATTAGTAATATCAGGCAGAGGGGCAGGGTAGCCTCAAAAGGTCTGGGCTCAAAGGGTTAAACCAAGGAAATAATGTAGGTACATGTATTTCAGTGAGAACTTATCATTTTTTCTTTTTCTCTTTCTTTATCCTCAGAAACTTTTGATTGCATCTTCCCCAACCAAGTATGTGCTCTATGCTGGACATGCTTTCCAAGGCACTGGGGCCTGGGTGCTTCAAGATGACACTTTTTCATTCAGTAGCCTAGCCCAGGTATGAGTCAAATGATCTGACTACTAGAGAGTCATCATAGAAAAGAAAGATTTTTTAAAAAGAGTACTTTTCATCAAAGACTAAAGCTAAAGGAAAGTGGATAAACTTGTTGAAACAAACATGTTATGATTGATTTATTTGATGGAGTTGAAATGGAGTAAGACTTATTTTTATGGGAGTTTTGGGTGCTTTTATGTTCCAGAAATCCAATCTTGTGCTATTTGGTGGAAATTACCATTCTGAGGAAGTCCCATCTTCAGAGAAAATTAAGACGGATGTATTTCAGAAAAGAAACCATAAACTTGCTCAGTTCCCGCCCATTGCCTCTCTTTTCCAATTTATTATAGCAGTCTATTGCAGACTGTTTTTTCTTTTTCGGTTAACTGGAAATAAATGTATTTGTGGCGGAATTATTTAGTTAATAGGATTATACATTTGGATCCCATGGACCAGTGATATTTGATTTCTTGTGTTCTGAATGTGACTTGTACCTCAATATTTGACTTGAAACTTGATTCCAAACAAAGGAAGTGATGGAATATTTATGATGTTCATGGCAAACAAAAGAACTAGATAAATTGTGGGGTGGCATGAAAGTGGCAACAAAATTCACATTACTTACTTAACATCCAGTCGACTGAACAAGTTAAAAAAGACAGTAAACAACTATCATAAACAAAATAAAGCCCTCGGAGGACTCACCAATCCACATGTTTGGGATCTGGTATGTTCATAACAGCTACTATGCTCTGTAAATTTTCCTTCATTTGTGTGTGGTTGTTTTTAAGGCGTGATTCTTTTTTTTTTTTTTTGGTTAAAATTATTCATTATGATGCCCAAATTTGTCTCCCCCCCCCCCCTCCTCCTTATAGGTTTTCAAGAACACTGATGTGGAGAATGCTCTGAAACAAAACATTGAAGCCAACCTGACCATCCATACGTCTGCTGAGAGCCACTGGGGAACAAGTATCAGCAAAGCCGATTTCACCAACAATTTACGGATCCAACTCAACCCTCCAGAAAAATTGCACAACATCCACGGTGTGGTACAGTTCACTGCTTATGTAGGCAGTTTTGTTACTCAGACACCAGTCACAAACCTGCTTCAGGCCTCTGAACAGTTTGGTAACATTGGCTTTACCAGACCAACGCTGTACATCTTCCCTGGTTGCCAGGGTGATTCAGCATTATTTGGGATAAATGGGTTTAACCTCCTTGTAAATGGTGGGTACAACAGACGGGCTTGCTTCTGGGATTTTGCTAGGCATTTAGATAGAGTTGATGCAATGCTACTCACTCATTTGGGTCCAGATAATATTTTTGGTATTAACACTGCTCTACAGAGAAAAAGTTTGGAGAACATACATCCTCAGATTGGCTACTTGTATTTCAATGCTATTGATAAGCCAAGTGCCCCAGCCCCCTGTGGGGATGGAGATGGAGATGCTGAAAAAAAGAGCAGTCTACTTATTAACCTCGCTGAGGAAGCCAATAATCTGACTCGCATGGCAAAGCAACTGGGTATCAGCCCTCAGCCTTGCTCTCGTTCTGCTACAAGCCAGAATGCAGAACCAATCAACCTGTACCATAAGCTGGGCCATGGGTCTTTGGACATGTATATGTTGAATCCTATTACAGACAGCAAGGAAATGAAAGAATTTTATCAACTCTGGAATAAGAAAGCTTCAAATCTTGGGTCCAGTGGACCTTTCCCCCTGCAGAATGCTCTGTCTGTGTGTACCATGTTGGTGTGGAGACCCCATAATCCGAATGAGAAGATCGTTAGGATTTTCTTTCCAGGAAATGCTCCACAGCACAAGATTGCTGAAGGGTTGGAAAAGATGAAGAGCTTTGCATATTTGAAGCATGCTTCATGCACACCCAAGGACCTGCTGAAACCAGCTGTCGTGAAAAAGGCAGGCGGATCTGCCAGGCCTGGAAGTGGAGCTACAAGGTCAGCCAGAACAACTGCGACTTCTCGTGCTGAGACCACAAGAAGTATGAATGCAAGCAGGATGGAATCTCCCCGCAAGGCTGAATCAAGAACCGCTAGCAGGTTAGGTGCAATGTCACCAACAAAGGCTACCACAAGAGCTAAAGAAGAAAATGGTAAAAGACCTACTGATGTCAAGAAGCGTCCGACAAGAATAGAGGACAAAGAGAAGGATACAAATACAAGACCAGCATCTGCAAGGTCAAGCACAATGTCGAGCCCAAGTAAAGCAACATCACCCAGAAAGACTCCCTCTCCTACCAAGTCTGCATCGCCTACAAAAGGAACTTCTCCTGCTAAGTCTCCTTCACCTCCAAAATCAGTTCTAGCAAAATCTCCAACCAAAGCCAAGTCTCCTGAGAAGAGTAAGCCAGAAGAGAAGCCAGCTCCTCCGGCGGAGGTGAAGAATGAAGAGGTTTCTGCAGCTCCAGTTCCTAGCTCCCTGGTGGACACTCCTGCTACTGAGCCAGCTCCAGTTGGAAATAATATGGACAAGCCAGAACTGAAGCCAGAGTCAGACCAGGCTCAGGGAGCCCAGCAGGATCAGATTGAGGCATTGCAGACTGTTGATAACACTGCCAGTGAGAAAACACAGCCTTCTGAGACAAACTCCAACTTGTTGTCCTCTTCTGTCGATGCTATGAATGCATCTATGACCATGTCTGCTGACAGACAGAAGCTGGAAAGCCTAGGCATATATGATGCTGATGAACAAAAGGATAATCAAGTGGATGCACAGAGTCCAGTGTACACGAATGGAGATAATGAAGAGGAGGAAGTGAGGCCACAAGCTCTTCCTGAGCCCCCAGTCATCATGGAGTCACCAAGTCAAGACTCTGATATCATGCCAGATTATAGTTCCAAGATCGAGTCTGATGAGCAAGAACTTTCAGAATTCAACAAAGCCGAAGAAGAACTACAAGAATTTGAAGCAGACATTGCAGAAAATACAGCAGTGAAATCATTTGAAGATCCAGCAGAAGATATCCCCCCATCCCCAGAGCCAGCAGCAGAAGAACAGCCAGACTTTAATGATTACCCTGTTGCTGTGGAGGCTCCGAAAACATTTGAGACTCCGGTATTCAGCAATGATGATGCAGATACAAATGGGGGTGTTGCTGCAATGGAACAAAAAATTCAGTATGGAATAGACGAGTCTTCTAGGGCCATGGCTGGTATTCAAGAGGAGGAAGAGCCCGAAGAGGAAGGAGAAGTATCAAAAGACATACAAGCCAGCACAACGGCTGACAAACAAGCTCTCAGAGACCTGGGAATATATGATGATGATGACGAATTGGAAGAGGAAGTCAATGGCTTTGACAATGAAGTAGAAGAGGAGGTTAGGCAGAATGTTGCCCAACAGCAGTTCTGTGAACAGGTTGTAGAGAAAGAAGAGGTGAAGGAGAAGGAAGACAATGATCAAGAGAAGGACATGGAAGAAGAGGAAGTTGCCAGTGACTGTAGACTGTCTGCTGAACGGCAATTTGAAGATGTTGAAGAAGATGCTAATCCAAATTCTGATGAAGGAATTGAAGAAGATACAGATAAAGATGTATGTGAAGAAAATGATTCTTCGGTGCCTGCTGCTTTTGACAGGGACTCAAGCCCTGAAATGGAAGTAATTCAAAATGAAAACACGGAAGAACAGAAGACCGTTGAGTCCATTGAAGAAAGCCCTGGTGAAGGAGTAGAGAAACAATTAGATGATGGAGAGAGGGAGGACACAGATTCCATTGATGGGGGGACTCCAGACGATGACAAAGATATTGATGAAACTATCCCTCCAAACGTTAATGGAACAGAGCAAGATAAGTCAGATCATTTTGCTGTTATGGATTCAATGGCTGACCAAAGCGGCAAAACTGTTGAGAATGTTAACCCTTTCTCTGGCGTTCAAGGAGAGAGTAACACAGAACCCCAGAGCAAACCATATGCTGAAGATAGTGACAATGAGCTACAAGAGGAGGGTGCTTCTTTCGACCCAGTTGCACAGTGGGGTAAACCCATGGGACTCCCATCTCCACCCCCAACATCTCCGCAGAAAGGAGCCAGTACAGATAGACGGCCAGCCTCTGCCGCTAGTAAGCCAGGAGATGCAAAATCGCGCACCGCTCGTAATGGCACTGCAACCACTGATGCCAAAAAGAGGCCAGCCACAGCACCAACAAGAGCTGGTGCCACTGGTCGTCCTATGTCCGGAGCTAGACGAGCAGGTTCCAGCAGATCCTCTCCTCAGAGTGCTAAAGTTCCTCCCCTGCCTCCAATGACTGCTTTCTACATGGATCTGACTTACATCCCTAACCATGGAGACCCATCCTACAGTGATGTAGAGTTCTTCAAGAGGGTTAGAGCTAGGTATTATGTACTGAGTGCTCTCTCTCCAAATCTGCAAGTTCTTGACTCTTTGATGGAAGCCAAAGCAACATGGGAACAGAAGGATTTAGAGGTCACTCTCATTCCAACCTATGACAATGAGACCCTTCGCCACTGGGTAGGTCTCAATAAGGAAAAACTTCAGGAGTTGCGCATTGATTTGACTCCTGCTGTTAGTCGTTGCACCATTCAACTTCAGGATCTTGAGACCAGCCTCCCGGCGTACAGATTAGAAGTGTAAACTACAAAAGGGAGGAACATGTGCTGTTGTCATTTGCAAAGTTAATATAACTGCACAAAATTTTCAAAGGAGACCAATGCTTTTTGCTTAAACCCTCGAAAGCCTACAGCAATGTCTTTTGTAATGGTCTTGTCTTTGTCCAGATAACTGATAATACTAATTTGAAAAAGCACCTGCTTTTCCAAGGTCAGTAGTAATATATATAGCTGTGTTTGTTTAGATTTTTAAAGTTTTGAATGAGTATTCTGACTTGTATATTTTTTTCTCTCTCTTGCATTGCTAATGTCTATTGAGTTTTAATTTTTTTCATTCTTACTTTCGTAAAGTTTGAAAGAGCTTTTGTTGGATTTGCAATAAGGACAGGGATAAGCATGAGAAGACATCAACTGATAAATGTGTTGACTTTTGTTGTATAAAAACAATATTATATAAATATATTGTTGACTTCAAGATTGTTTTGGTTGAAGCACAAAGCTGTCATTGCAGTTGAAAGTACTGTGCAGCTGCTCTGTAGCAAGTATATCAAAAGAGTTTAGCATAATCTTTTTTTTACCTTTGCATAGTCACTTGGTTTTTTTATCTTCTTCTCTCCCATGTCCCTCTCTCTCAAACATACACGTACACACACAGACAAATATACCCATAACTTCTCCCCTCTTTTTCTTGGCTATCTCACTTTCCATTCCAAACATAATATTCATTTGCACATATCATTTGGGATCTTCTTCATCGTGTCATGTTGGGTAGGAAAAAAAAGTACAGTTAATTATGCAGGTTGAATTGCTTTCCAGTGAGTAAACATCAACAAATATTTGATAAAGTGTCAATACCATTTGATCATACCATTAAATGAATAGTCAAGTGTAACTGGATTTTGAAAGAGTAACTGAGCTACATTCTTTGAGAAAATAGGAATATTGATTTTTAGACATTCTTAGTAGACTTTCAGCCAGTTTGAAAGATAAAAAGGCCACGAATGTTTTTTTCTCATTTTCAAATTCATTTAATGTGTTTCATAAATCTTGCAATTGATAATTATCTCTGTGCTAAAAGTGTTCTGGAATATTTTCTTCATTTCAAAGGTACTTTCTTTTGTACTTGATATTTCAGTTGTCAAGATCTGATGTTTACTTAAGCAAAGTATGGATTTTTAAAGTAAGAGCACGCAGAATTTTTATTCTTTTTTGGGGGTTTCATTATGCTCTTGTTTTCTTGAATAACAAAATTCTATTGTAGGAAGGAATGTGACTGCTGTAGTGTGTGAAGCTAGCAGAGAAAGAATAGTTTTTTCATTATAAATCGTCAATATTGATTTGAAATGTCTGAATACGATATACATTTTTCTAGATGTGTAATTCTTTTCGGATGGTGAAGCACTTTGTCATGACCTAGTTTATGCGTAGTTACTTTATCTGGATGGAAATTAGATTTCACTGTGCAGCATCTACTTCTTGTTCATGACTGATATACATAGTAGTGGAGAAAGAGGAGGTGATTCCAGTGCCATTATGGTTAGATGTGGTGCTTATTGAAAGACCATTTGGTTCTTTGTTTTGACAGTTTTTACTCCTTAGGCCTTAAATATTGAATAAAAGCTGTTTATGATGTTATGAGGCCAACTTAAAAGGATGTGTGCTCTTAAATACCACATAGCAGTAGCTGAGATTGTTGTGGTATGGTGTAGTTTTGATTTCATGTCCCTCAAGTGAGATCACTTTTTTGGGGTTGTATTAGTTTTTATTTTTGTTGGTTTAAAGTTTTGATAACCCTTGCACAATCTACTCATGTTTGTAGTTTTGTTTATATCTATGAGAGCATTCTTTTTCATTTATAGCGGGAATGCTCTCTTAACATGATTTAATGTGAGATAAAAAGAAAGATCAGTAGAGATTTTCTGTGAACTGTGTTTTTATGGTTTAACAGTAATATGATTTACTTAAGGGCACAGTGGTGTGAACACATATGTACTTGAAGTGTCTCTGCTGTGCTCTTGTTTTTTCACCAGTGCTATCTGGTGTCCCAATGTTACCTTTCCTTTCGCTTCTTTCTTTAAATTTGGTGTGACTCAATTTTATTTTCAGTTTCATAAACCTGTGACTCAATCCTGCGCTCTTGAAATGTTTGAAGGAAACTTTGTGATCAGTTGTTGCCTTTCTCTATAGCTGTGTAATTTTTTTTTCCTTTGATGTACTGATGCAGTCGAAGGTGCTGACTTACTTTGCTTTCATTTAGCCACCCTGTTTCACCTGTTTATGGATTTTTGAAATGTAAATTTTGTATTGATTTGAAGGCTTTGGGTTTTAAAGCCTAAAACTGCCAGAAATTTCATTATAAACAAAAAGAAACAACTATTCTATGCTTCTAGACTAGTCCTTCCTGTTTTTACCATGCTCAGATGTTACTTGCGCCATTTTAGTCAGTATTGCTGTATGTTTATGCATTCGTGCAAGTGCATGGTAAATCGACAACTCCCTCTCATGTTTTGTAGTGTTGATGAATGATTTGGTTAAAGTATGTCATTGTTCTGAGGTGGAATGTTCATTGAGCATTATTTCCAACTGTTTTCCTTATTGCCATTGATGAAAACAAGATTGACTTTTTTCATTTGCTGATAAATAATAAAAGCACATTCATTTTTGGGGCTCATTAGTCCCGTCAGGGATTCAAGTATTGTTAACATTGCCAACTTTTAAATACTTTACGTCATAACAAGTCCACTTTGGTGGTCCATTTACAACAGTTGTTTCCTATCTTAAGGATCTCATCCTGACATTCACTTCTTTCATCAAACAAACTACTATTCATCTTGCTAACTTACAGGTCAGATCATGTGGTGTCTGTGGTAATCAGTTACTGAAATTTCCCCGAAGCAGTGCTGTTTGATCCCCATATACTTGTATCATGTTTGCAACTCCTACCCCCCCCCTCCTTCCTGCACACACTACATTTTCTTGGATGTGGTGAAGATGCCTCTCATAAGTCCATTCATCTATTTGTGCTTCCATTACTTTTGCACCCCCTTGTCATCCCTTGCCTTGTAACTTTTGCGTCTGTGACAATGAATATATTTTTTATCAGGCCATGATAATTGTCTTGTGTGATCTATATTTATCATATAAAATCTGATCTTTTTGTCTTTCACTGAAAAACTTATTAAATGGTTACTATTAAATTGACGTTTAAAAAAATGAAGGTACTAAATTAACTGTCTTTGTTAAATTTCTGATGAATTCAACAATGGAAAAAAGCAATGGTTTTGTCAAACTCAACTGTGCGCAAGTCATTTTTCATCTCAGTTTGCTTTATTTCTCATCGCTTTGCACACAATGAACGCATCTGACTTGTCACTTCTTTTGACTTCTCTTTTCATTCCTTGCAATCAGGCCTTTCCATGTGATTGAATTGTGCATTGCTGATAATTTGTAGTGTCTTTTTCGTTTGTTACATAGTATGGTGATAACATCTAATGGTTCTGTTTTAATTTTTATTTTTATAGTAACTTATTTATTGATTATTGTGGACACTTTTTTTTTTGTAAAGCTTTTGATGCATTGTTTTTGTGCAACGTTTGTCAACAATAAAAGTCAATGTGCAAAATTATATGATTTCTTTTGCTTATTCTCTCTTTTAATCAAACTGTTAAAACTCACACTGTGTTTGACAAACCTTTGATACGATTCAGATTGTCTTTGGGAGGAGTCAGTGATGACCATACCTGTTCGAATTTTCCTCAGCCTGAAAAGTTGAGACTAGTAAAAGACTTTTGAATGTCCCTTGCACAAATAAGTTTTTCAGAAATCAATTCAGAGCATTTTTTTTGCTGTGAGAGATGATATTTGATCAGCTGCAAGTGATCCTGGAAAATTGTATTTCTCTTATTGTCATGTAACAATACATCCATATATCTTATTATTAGATTCTCCAAGTCTCCGTTAACAATATGTAGTCCTGACTGGAAAGAGATCTAACCTCTGTACTAGTGCTGTCAATGTACCAAAGTCCCTGCAGGTTTTTAGCTGGATTTTTAATGAAGCAATTTGTAAGGTTGTGCTCTGGGGGGGTTTTCTATGAGACTGATGTTTTGTTGGCCCAGCCTGATAAACTACGCAGCTGGTGGCTGAAGAGTGGGATCCATTGTCCTTGTTCTGTTCATTGCCTCTGTTGTTCTTCCCTATCCTGCTTTTTCTCAAGTGTACCTAATGAGCGATTGTGTTGTTGTGCTTCTCTTTACGCTAAATAAATAACTCACTTTTTTTAGACAGAGAGGAGAGGGAGAGATACAGCTATACTCCCCAACCCCTTCTTATTTTCCTTGCGTTTGGTGCCTACCAGTTGACATTATATTGGCCACAATTTTATGTGTCAAACTACATGTTTCGGCAGGCCAGCGAAAATTTGATTTATATCCGGCCCAAGAGAGAAATTTAGGTAGTCCATCTTGAGAATCTCAACTCAGAAAATCTTGCTCCGAACAGTATAATATAATATTATTGCCAAGAAAAGATGCCAAACATCCAGCTCTGGCAAATTGGCATAAAAGCGAAAATTGGTACCAGATATGCATTGGCTTGTTTTTGTTTGAGCGTAGGGCGTTTTAAAAAAAAAATTATATCATTGTTTTAAAAATGTTTTGTTTTCCACTGCTCAATCATATCGTTTATCCAGTTTGGCCCCCCAAACCTTAATTGTAATTTGAGTTTGCCCCCCTGACGACTGAGTTTGACACCATTGCTTCAGGCACTGCATACAAAAAAAACAACCACGAGGACTAATACAACATGACCAAGTGGGGGTATATCTAGCTAGATCCTTGAGTTGGATGGCACCACTGATATTACTGATCAGTTTTACTTCTTTATTGCACCTGATTGTACTTTCAAACCCTGGGTCGAATGAGCGCTCATGCAGGCGATCACATACATGTTTGGGGACATCTCTTCTTTTGGTGTCCGGCATGGGTACTGCCTGTCTCGTTGGTGTGTTCTAATTAACGGGAACAATAGTGCATGTTGCAAACGTTGCCCCCCCCCCTCCAACCCGGTTCAAATAAAGGATTTTTTCTTAGTCGGTCAATTTTATCTTGGGGGAAATTCTGGGGATATGTGATTCTTCGATACCAGAGAGGCTATAATGGACCCATTGCGTGCACCTTTTCCAATGGTGACATAGTCTAATGTAATCATAGAGACTTGAATTGAAATATATCCTAGATCGTGCACTCTCATGGCCGTTGTTCTTGGCTCTCTATAAATGTTTTCCAGCAAGGCGTGCGCACCGTGGGCACCCGAATCAAGGGCAAAACACCGGTACAGCATCACTATAATATTACAGAGTTGAGTGCGCACAACATCACCCCCCCCCAACCCTTTTGCCCTTCGCATGGTTCCAGACTGAGTCAAATTGTGCACTCCACAGCGAACAGGAATCGCATCCGAATATACAGTCTAGAATACTACAATATTGGTACATAGCTGATGACAAACTACTCTTGGGTGCTCATGAATGATACTATGTCTACGTGTTCGGAAACAACATTCGCCTGTTTGGTACTAGATCTAGTCCTATTACATAGCCCTTTCAGTTCCTATTCTCATTTTCTTTTCTTTATAATTTTTTTTTAAGCCTGCATGTTAACCTTACGCGGGTACCCCCCAAAAAAAAGGGGGGGATTTACAGTTTACAGCAAAATGCTAATAAAACATTACAGAGTTGACACTTACAAGTGTAACGCGCACCCCACTGTTTGCATTGAGTCTTAATATTTTTGCTGTCCTTAGGATTTCCATGTCTTAACTCTTTCACAACGCTTGCAGACGCACAACTTTTGAAAAAGAAATAATATTATAACTACATTGTTCATACCCAGATTTTCAATAAGGTTTTCTTTATATGAAAGTTTTTTAAAAGTTAGTGCGGTCAAAAATTCGTAGCGTAACCTATTGTCAAATATCTTCTTAACTATCGAACATAGATTCTCCAACGTTTGCACAATGACTTACATCAATTTGTCTTAACTGATGACTATTTTTTCCAAACACCTCTACTCTGTATTCTAGAAAATTTCCTTAATAAATACTAATAAAATATCCAAGTCGATGGTTTCTCCAGCTTTTAAAGTTAAAGTGTTTACAGCTCTCGCAATATCGCTTTTAAAAGCAAGCCTGTCGTTGTTTTCTAATCGCGACGGTATGCTCATTTAACACATGTTTTGAGAACCTTTAGAGCAAAAAATGTGTTTACTATAAAATTAATTTCTTTTAACAGGTTTTGCCACTGAAAAGTGTCATTGGTGAGCTGTGACGTACATGTAGGCCATAAATGCGTATACAAAATGTGTGCAAGAAGCAGGTTAAAGTGCTGTGAACAATCCCATTTTCCGCCTGACGGAGATTTATAGTATTTTATATAAATTTATGAAGAAAAAGGTTTTAAATCTAGCCTCAATTGTTGTGGTAAAGTGTGTTAAGTTAAGACAACTTAATACAAACTGCTGTGCAAAGTTGGAGTGACGATGATTCATCCGTTTAAGAGATATTTAAGGATAAGTTGCGCCACGAATTTTTTACCCCACTTTTTAGTTTATCCTTGCCATTTTAATGTATTTCATACATTTTTGGGGCTCGACAGTACGAAAAAAAAAAAAAAAAAAAAAGCTTGCAGAACGGAGAAAATGCGGGCACGGAACTTGTTCACTTTCGTTTGACCGCGGTTAAAACATGATAAAAACAAATAGCTCCACTTTCGAGTACCGGTACTCTTCTCGTGTCTTTGCATGTGGGTCTAATAGCTAGATGACCATCAGAACCTAAACGCCCGATAATGAAGGTTACTGCAAACTAAGATACCGACACTTGTCTTTGGTGTTAGTTTAGGCAGTACGTACTGGTACTAATATAATATGGGATTTACAGTATACACCTTAACATAAAGAAAGGAGTTGACATATTATTTTCATCACCATACTCATGCCTATAATATGAACCTCAGTCCCTCAGACGAATGAGTACTTCAAGATTGTGTTTGTTTGCTTTTTAAAAAAATGCTTTTATTCGGTCGCTGGCTCACATGAATGGCATGCAAAGTTTAATGCGTATTGTAAAATCAATATATGAACAAGAATATATATATAAATATGTTGGGTTTTTTTTTTTACGCGGACAGACGAACATGAACAATCCGACTGAAATTGCTGCCTGACAATCAACAAGAGCAATTTTTGTAGGCTATGTTACTGTAAATATTTTGTTGTAGTGGTCTTGTGTATGCACCCAATTAGGGCAATATGTTTAATATAAGGCCCCAACAGAGAAATGTTCATTGCTGGATCAAGATGTTAAAAAATAAAAGATTCTATAGCCTGTATATGTGTTTGGTCGCTGGCCTACAAGAGTGCCATTCAACGTTTCATGCGCATTGGAAGAAAGCTCGAACTTTACACAGACACACAAACGTGAACAAGCTTAAGTAACGGAAATTCGTTACTGCACTGTGTCTTGTTGGGTTTGGGCTTTTTTTTTTCAATAAAAAAGAGAAAAACAATAACGGCTTCGATTTTCACAAAGCTAACAAAATTCCCTGAAGGTCAATAGCATTTAAAACCCATGGACGAATTCCAACCCCAGGGCAGTGCTGCAGACTGAAGTGTCTTTAAGCCATTCCCAAAGGGGAGATATTAACATGTTCTTATGCACAGTAGAACTGTAAATGAGCTGATTTTCAATTTCATGCTCAATTACTGTGTCAGTACAACATAGGGGGAACTGATGCTTTTTCTTTCCCTCATCCTTACAATGGTCATTTTCTTCTACTCCGTTTTGTTTGTTTGTCACTCTCTTGTGAACTGTTATTTCCTGAGTGCCTTGATAGTCGAAGCAGACTGTGTGCGGTTGAGGCAAGAGAGGTGATCAGAGTAAGCCTGATTCCCCGTTTGGGCTTCTCTGTTGACACCCACCCCTTGGAGCTGGTATGACCGTGTATGCAGTTGCGAGCACCGCAAAACCTCACTAAAACAAAAAACCAAAAAAAAACAACAAAAAAAACAAACAACAACAACAACAAAAAAAACCCATGAGATGTGGCGCATCAAATGTGGACTCGAGAAAGTGAAAGAACTATAGAATGTCCTTCGGCCCACACACAACAAAAACAAAATAACGACTTTGTAAACAAAGACAACCTCTTTTTAAGGGCTCGGCCCCTCTTTTTCTTTGGGACGTTACGCCGACTGGGAGGCATGTCTCTTTTGCGTCTAGAGACCCGCTAGCCTAGGGAGCCTCTTTGTATTGCATCCAAGGGCACTTCTTATTGTCGTTTGGAGAGAGCCCTTTTTTGCTGTTTGAAGGGGCACCTTTTTTTCTTTGCGATACACTATGTCATACATGGTAGTGCATTTTTTTTTTTCGGCCCGTGTCGACTATTGCTGGCCTACGCTCATCTTGTTTTCTTCATAGGCTAAGGCAATTTTAAAGCTATAACTCAAAATAATAGTTCTGAATTTTAGGACAGAATTGACAATAGTCTATGAAATGAAGATAAAGTCATTCACACACATCAACTCACTGATTATTTCGGAGGCGGGCTGCTTCGAAAGCCAGGCCTTTGTATAGGCCTAATTATAATGTTGTCCAGATAACAATACAGAGATATACTAGACACTATCTCAAATACATGGACCTATTTTTTTTCGAATGCCCCCCCCCCTCCCCCCAATCCTACAGTTTATGTAAAGAGGGGCCCGAATCTTTGCAAGAAGTGAGTTGTTCTTACGAGATAAAAAAAATATCGGTACGATACTCTAGTTAATAGTAATAGGCCTATTATTTATTAGTCTGAAGGAAGGACTCCGTCTTGAGCGACTGACATGTATAAATATGATATATTTGTCAACAACGTACAACCCCGTATGAATACACAATTTCGAAACAAATACATCAGTCGAGTCGAAAATTATCGGTTGCCTATTCTAATTTTCTAATAATAATCTAATCATTTTTCGTTCAATGATAAATTTCATAATCTAGCCTAAAAACAAACAAAAAAGATAATGTAGGCCTTAAAAAAATTTCATCGCTTCCGCAAGGGAGATCAATCAGCAATGAAAATAGATTCAAGATGGCAGGCATCGGAAAGTGCCTTCCTTTTTGGTGTCTGTGGAGTTCAGAAGGTTCCAGGAATGAGTGAGAGTTTAGTTAGAAGGTATGATTACCTTGTTTTATTAAAATGGGGGTTGGATTGTACACTAGATCTGTTGTGATTAAAATGTTTTCAATATCTTTCTTCTTTACATCCTTTTTAAAGCGTGTGGTGGCGGTGAGTTTCCGACACTGAGGCTGAGGCCAAGACAGATCTAGTTTGGAAAGAGCAGTGTAAACTCAGAATCAGTTGGGAATACGTTTCTCCTACTGCTACTTCCTTTTTTTCATTAACATTCATTCTCCTTGTGTGCCTGTCATTTCTGTTATGATCTAACAATGCATTGTTATCCTCATTAACAATTGAAGGCTTAACTGGCCTTGATTGATTGTATGGGCCACCTCTATTCTCACCCAGGCCCCCGGGTGAGAATAGCGTAGGCAAGTCTTTTGACTATTCTCACCCAGTGTACGCTCACCGTATAAATAGCCTAGGCCAACCAGTGTAACGTTCACCCTGAGCCACAGAGTTCTGCTCTTTGATTTAAACAGAATTGTAGAATTCTTTGCCGTGAACAAACGTTCCATTAGCCTACTTAAAATTACTACTTACTTTTACTGTCCTTAAAGCGTGCAATTTTGTCTGTGGGCAGTGGAGAGAGAGAGAAAGAGAGAAAGGAGTAGCGCGAGAACTTCCGGGCAAAACAAAATGGCGACCCGCGTAGTTCGGCTCGATTTGAAAAGTTAAATAGCCGTAGCATGATCTTTCTTGTAGACTACCAAATTAATGTACTTTTTTGTTTTAACGTCATTTTTCAACTTTGTTTTGGTCAATTTGATCATCCACACCGATACACGGTATTCAGAGAGAGACAGAGAGAGAGAGAAAAGGGAGAGGAGTAGATCTTGCGAGAACTTTCGGGCAAAACAAAATGGCGACCCGTGTAGTTCGGCTTAATTAGAAAAGTGAAATAGCCATAGCATCTTTGTAGACAGTCAAATCAGCTTACTTTTTTGTGCTAAAACGTAATTTTTTCTTGGCTTTTATCAATTTGATCATCCACACTGATAGACAGCCGAAATGAGGAAAAACAGGTCTTGTTTCACACTGGCTGAGAATAGCCAACCCTGGCAAGTCTCACCTGGGGTGAGAAGTAGATCGTATTTTTATTCTCTCACCCCGGGTGAGGATAGCCACATCCTTTTATTAAAAGTTTAGATTTTTGCCTACAAATCTAGATCTAGATCTATATCTACATGATGCAAACAAAAAGGTGCTTTTTCGGTAGTTCCCATCCCCCTTATTTGAGCCTGACCTAGATATCTGCATCTAGATCTCTGTAAGTTTGATTTGCGGCAAGCTAAGATATCAAACCTAACAACTGCAAAACATTAAATTGTGGTAAAATTCAGGGGGGCATTTTTGTTAGGTCAGGGGGGGCAAGCTCCCCTGAAACCCCCCTACTCTTGGGGCCAAAACCGGCAAATAACAATACGTGTATTGGGAACTACCGAAAAAGCGCCAACAAAAATATAATATAGGCTATAATACTATAAAAGATATTATATGGTTTTGTTTTGAAGGAAGCATGCCAATTTGTCACAGGCTTCGACTGTGCCCTGCATCAGAGACCTAGAATCTAGTTTACATTGCTCGGTCTCTGCCTGCATGATGGAAGTTATCACTGACACTCTCAAAAAGAGTAACTTAATGATTGATTCATTGTATGAAATGAATTTTATTTTTCAATTGTTTTTAACGAAAGATCGTTCATTGTTGAAATTTTACAGAGTAATTTAAATTTGCTTTGATTTGCATACAAAGGAGGGACTTCTCAACACCACCAATTTGAGATGGAGAATAAGGACTTTTATACCCTGGAAAGCGCACAGGCCCTATAATATAAAGGGCGTGAGCCAGGCTACCACGGAAGCGCGCAGGCCCTATGCTGACCTACTTCGACCGCGAAGTGCGCAGGCCCTAAAAGGCATACGTTGACCTTTTTCGATGGAAAATTTAAGTTTTTCTTCTGAAAAATGACCATTTCGGCTCATAAAACCATATTTTCTTAAATCTGATAGAATGAGCCATTCAAAAATGATAAGCGACCAAACAAATACAAACAAAGCCTAAAACGCGATAAACTTAACAATTAGTACATTAGCACAGCGAAACAAGTGATAATGATAGCATGCAGTGTAGTGGCTCAGCTGCAGGGTTGGTGATTTTTTATATTTTTTAAATAAAAATTTAAAAAATCGATTTTTTGATTTAAATCAAGATTTTTAAAATTTAAATCGGATTAA